GTCCACCTGGAGGTGGACATTTTCTTGTTTCCCATCCTGCTTGCCTTTTGAATGACAAGCACTGAGACTTTATTCAGAGATGGGTTTTCGTAAAATCTGCTTTGTGGATAGAGCAAGGACAGCCTGCCCTGGTGGACAAGATCTGGGAATCACCTCTTCCTGGCTCAGGGAGGACTGGGTGGGGGCTAGAGCTGCTTTCTCTCTGCCCAGGGAGTTTGCTGGACTTTCTCAAGGGAGAGACAGGCAAGTACCTGCGGCTGCCCCAGCTGGTGGACATGGCTGCTCAGGTGAGTCAGCCCCTCTCGCCTCCCACACCTGGCCTTGAGCACTCTGACCCACCTGGCTGATCTCTTGAGTGCGCCCTCCAGGAAACTTGCTTTGATTGCCCCCACACTTGCTGGTTTCAGCCCATATATTACTGGGACCACTTACAGCTGCTGCGAGTGGTGGTTCTGGGCGTAGGAAGGAGGCTTTACCTGGGCATCAGGAGTCACTGACTTGCTGTGGGACCTCAGGCCTCAGTTTTCTTCTCTGTCAAGGTCATTCAGTCACTCAACAAACATGCATTAGTGCTTGCTGTAGGTGGTGCTCAACAACCACTTTTTAATTTAATTCTTATCACAATCTGGGAGGTAGAGATGGTTATTATTCCTTTTGATGGATGAGGAAACTGAGGCTTCTCAGAGAGGGGACTTGGGACTATAGACAGGACCTGGCACTTATCTGTGTCTTGGGGCATCTGGGGCCTCTTTTTCATGGTCATTCCACTTCCCCGTATGTATCTTGTGCCTCCCCTCTGCTCTTTGCTCTGCAGTCCTGCCTCCCACCAGGTGTTGGTCCTGCTTTTTATGCCAACGGTATTTATTGTAAACTGACGTCATTACCTAAAGAACTGGGAAGGGCAGGGCACTTGGTTGGCTGTTTACTCCTGGGGGTGACCCCAGCCTGGGAAGGGCACGGACTGCCCCTGAGCCAGGCTCCTGGGGTTCTGCCTGCAGATTGCCTCGGGCATGGCGTATGTGGAGCGGATGAACTATGTGCACCGAGACCTCCGTGCTGCCAACATCCTGGTTGGAGAAAACCTGGTGTGCAAGGTGGCTGACTTCGGGCTGGCCCGGCTCATCGAAGACAACGAATACACGGCCCGGCAAGGTGAGCAGGGCCCGGCCGATGCCGTATGGCCGTGGGGAGTCACCCCCCATTCTCTGAGCCTTAGTTTCCTCCTCTGTCAAGTGGGGATAAGAATGGTGCCTATCTGGCAGAGCGGTCATGTCCTCCTGAGCTTCCCCTGACCCTTCTTGCTCCTCCAGGTGCCAAATTCCCCATCAAGTGGACGGCTCCAGAAGCCGCGCTCTACGGCCGGTTCACCATCAAGTCCGATGTGTGGTCCTTTGGGATCCTGCTGACGGAGCTCACAACTAAGGGACGGGTGCCCTACCCTGGTAAGAGGATTCCCCACAGCCCACCTTTGGTCCTTCTGCCCATGCTCTGGTGACCTCTCTATCCTGGTGACCTTGGGCAAGTCACACCCCATCCCAGGCGTCAGTTTCCCCACCTGTATAACAAAGAGGTTGAACATCTGATCTTAGGCTCTCTCTTTGGTCTGGGTTCCCAGCCTTAGGAAGGGACTTACCCATGGTCACAGCCACCCTGTCCTAGGTGGGAAGCCATGTTTGTTGTCCCCATAAGCGTCCCCCTGCTCCACTTCCTTCACTGGAGCCAGCTGCCTCATGCCTCTCTCTGCCCACAGGGATGGTGAACCGCGAGGTGCTGGACCAGGTGGAGCGGGGCTACCGGATGCCCTGCCCACCTGAGTGTCCCGAGTCTCTGCATGACCTCATGTGCCAGTGCTGGCGGAAGGACCCGGAGGAACGGCCCACCTTCGAGTACCTGCAGGCCTTCCTGGAGGACTACTTCACATCCACTGAGCCCCAGTACCAGCCCGGAGAGAACCTATAGGGCGCAGGCTACGGGCCGGACTGCCTTCTTGGCTTGGATCCTGGGTTGGGTGGCCCCTAATGTGGGGTCTGGCCTCTCTCTGCCTGCCCACCGTTGAGCCCCTCTGTGGGGCTGAATTGCCAGTGATGAGGCCCCTCCCTCTTCTGTGGCAGGGCCTGCGGCCTGAGACAGCCCTGGGGCCAGGGTCCAAGGCTGTGCAGTGACCGTGTCCTGGCTCCATCCCAGCCACATGCCTCCTCCCTGTTTTCCCTCCCAGAGCCCTGTGTTTCTCAGCAGGAGGAACTGGGAAGAAGGGCTGGGGCTGAGGACGCCCTTTCCTTAGCCTCGGCCTACTCCACGCACTGGCTCCTTCCCACTTCCATGCCACCCCAGGTCTGTCTACGGAGCTGGCCGAAGAGCCTTTCCAAAGAGGAGTGATGGGCCCGGGCCCTTGGCCTGCCTGCCACCCTGCCCTTTGCCGTCCATTTCTGAAACACCTGTTGGTGGAGGCCGCTGGGTCCAGACCCCTCTGCGTGGCTCTCGGGCTGCCTAGCTTGACTTGATGGTGGGTGGGGTGGACATCTCCCCTTAAGCCCTGCCCTTCTTAGACCTGAGGGATCCTTAGAGATCATCAATTCCTTGTCCCCATATTACCCATGGGGAAACCCGAGTCCAGAAAGGGGGTGTGACTTGCCCAAGGGCACAGAGCAGTTCAGGGATGAGGTGGGATTGGAACCTGGTGCTCCCTCTGTCTTCCTCAGGAACCAACAAGATTGTCCTTGGAGGCATTGTGGACAGACTGGGGCAGCCCAGGCGACAAGGGGCCTGAGGATGGGTTAGGGATAGCAGAGAGAATCGTGCTGCCACTGCTCACTCAGGAGGGCAGTTCAGGAGGAGAGAAGTAGGAGGCAGATTTCAATCAGAATGTGGGTGGTTTTTGATCTTTGGAGCTAGCTGGCCGTGAAAGGGAGTGAGCTCCCAGGCTCTGGAGGCAATCAAGCAGAAGTAGAAGATCTAAGTGGTTGGGAGGCCCTGGCCTCAGGAAAGAACCCCAGGTCCTACTTCCCCCAGTTTGTCCTGTGTCATTTCAACCCCTGGCCCCTGCTGTTCTCCCCAAGTTGGCACCCCTTAACTCATGAGGAGGGAGAGGAGTGCCGAGGTTGTGGTGAGAGAGGACAAGGGTGTCTTTTGCCACGCACTAGGACTGGCTGTGTGCCCGTGGGCAGCCCCTGCTTCCTCTCTGGGCTGCAAGTCTGCCTCAATACGTGGCCAGGGCCTCTGCAACTGCCCCACTCCTGACCAGACCCTGTGGCCGGCATCACGTGGTGAGTCCAGCTGATGGCATCAGGAGACTGGCCCTAGTTCTGCTGTTCAGCCTTGAGATAGTGGTGACTTCTCCCTGGGCCTCAGTGTGCCCTTCTTAAAAGGGACAGCTGACAGTCTGTAGGCATCTTAAGGGCCCCTGTGTGTGTGTATGTGTGTGTGTGCGTGTACACGTGTGTATCCCTCCATGTGCGTCCATATTTAACATGTAAAAATGCCCCTTGCTTTGTCCCCCAGACATGTACATTTCACCCACAGTCCCCCATCATAGCAATAACATTCCCGCTGCCAGGGGTTCTCGAGCCAGCCAGGCCCTGCCAGCGGGGAAGGAGGCCAAGTGGTGCCTGCCTATGAAATTTCAACTTTTCTTTTCATACATGTTTATTACCCAAGTCTCCTCCCGTCCGTCCCAGTCAAATCTGGGCTCACTTACCCCAGTGTGCTCTCAAATCCCCTTCCGACTGCCCAACGCCCTTTGTATAAGGTGTCCTAATACTGTCTTTTTTTTTTTTAAACAAGCAAACAGTGTTTTGTAGATTTCAGATGACTATGCAGAGGCCTAGGGGACCCCTGGCTCTGGGCAGGGCCTGGGGTCCCACATTCCACGGCCCCGGCCTGCGGGGGTAGGGAGGGGGGATTTGGAATCCGTTGTAAATACTTTGCATATTGTCTGATTAAACACAAACAGACCTCAGAGTGTGGCCAGTGGTTTCTTGAGTATCTGTTGTGTGCTGGAGAGTGAGAGGATGGGATGTGAGGACAGACTGTGGTCAGAGGGGCTTTTGTGCGGGCAGCACTGGTTGCTGGAGGGCTTCAGGCCGGGAAGGGACTGAGACTGGAGATCTCCAGGATGTGGCTCTGTGTACACATCTGTACCTGCGTCTGGGAAGCAAGTGCCTGGCAGAAACCTTGCTTGTGTCTGAGCTGCACCAGGTGAAGCCCAAGACTCCAGAAGTGTGAGCAATTGAGGGCTCAGATGCCCTGGGTGGATTGGTGGCAGTTGACACTCTGCGGGCTCCCGCGGGGCTGTCATGCCTGGGTGGAGTTGTGGATGTGCTCGTGGGGAGATGTGGCTGTGTGCATGCTGTGTGTTTCCTAGGAGTGCTGGACTGGGTAGGGGCTGAGACTGGATCAGCAAAAGCCCTAGGCACTCTGAAGAAAAACCCCAAGACCCTTCCTCACCTCTCTTCTCCAAGGCACACAGCCTGGGAAGTTCATTTGCAACAGCCTATACAAAGAAACTGATTTTATGTCAGATCACACACATATCCACGTGAGTCACCTCTGGTCGTAATAACACTGTTAAATCTGTTTAATTAAAAACAGCTTTCAAAAGCAGAATGTTCTGTTCACTATTATTTTCACAAGCCAAATTCCATGTCTGGGTCAGAATGGACACCCGGAGACCCGGTGGGTGTGCATGAATCTTGGGAGCAGACATAGGAGCATGGATGTGAGTTTGTGCTCCAAGGAGTGTGTGCCTTTGTCTTCACGTGGGTATATGTGTGGGTTTGCTTGCTAATGGGGGTCTGTGTCGGTGTGTGGACAGATGTCCGGGTGGTCTGTGAGTCTTGGCTCCTGGGGGTGTGCGCCTAGCTGTGTGCACCTGTTTTTCCGGCCACGCATGCATGCACACCAATCCAGGTGGTTCTGCCTGAATCTGCGGGCTTCAGGGGCATGGGCACCGATGTGCGTGGCTGGGCTCTGCGGACAAGCGCGGGGCAGCGTGTGCCCGCGTGGTCCCATGTGGGCTCAGGGAGTGCACAGAGTGCCGGCCGGTCCCGC